ATGCACCGGATAGAGCTCTGCATAATATCAATATCAATAATCAAGTGGCCAATATGAAATCGACACCGGCGAGTGGACCATCCTCTCGTGACCGCTAGAGGCCCATCCCCTAACTACCCCTATGATCACCCAAGAAGTCTCCCAGCCGGTAGCGCCAATAATCATAACAAGGGCATAGTCGAGTGGCCCGCCCTCCCATGATCAACAAAGGCCCATCCCCTGTCTACCTTGGCAATCACCCAAGAAGTATCACCCGCGATGCCAAACATATCACATAAGCATGCCTCACATGCCTCGGTGCCCTATTAGTGGCCAATAAAACATTTATAAAGAAAACTTAGTTTGAAATCATGTTTCGCATGCAAATTTTCAACCATGATCATATGTTGTGCATGCCAACGAAAATGCTCATGAATGACATGCTTAATGGAAGTTGATGTCAATGTATTTTGCAACCGCATACTCAATGATCATAATCATCATATAGGGTACAACGAGCTTTCTTATCAAAGTATGAAAATATCCTAACATCACTATACTACAAATGCTAGGTTCTTGCATCGTAGTTGCAAATGGATTTTTACTTACCTTTTTGCCCTTGTGTGTGCACAAGCTCCTACGGAGATTATATCACTTTCTTTTTTCACTCAACGTCGGAAAATTACCTATATTACCAATTAATATTAAAGACAATCCTCCATTTAATAGCCTTAACACACACAAAATCCCAAAATACTTGCATTCATGTCAAAATAATTTAAAGGAATTCATTATTCAAGTTACTAATGGCATTACAATCTCGTCCCATAAGTCTCATTTTTCCTCGAGTCCAATTACCAGCATCAATGTCATCGAATTGTTGTCAACAGCCTAATATTCCTTAGAATCTATTTTCTAGGCCCAAGAGATAATTAATTTACAAGTAAAGGTTGAAATCATATTAAACACATAAATGGACAGAACCTGTTTTTCAGGTTTCATCACCGTCCAACTACTTTTCCAATCCGCTTTCACCCCCCTTATCCATATCCAATGACTCTCAAATTTTTACCACGTTTCTATAACATGTATGTGAAGGCAATAATGCTCTAAAGTCGTGACAAATAAAGTGTTCTCAGCATCAAAATAGTCCATTTCCACGACATCAAAATCAGGCAGTTTTCATTGTGACAGCTTTCGGTTTCCATTTTATTAGCATGTCATCAAACAGATTCCAGGCTATTAGAAGACCATTTATATCCTTATAAATCCCATATAACAACATTCATTTACATAGATACAAGTTATATCTTCAGTATTATCCAAAATCAAAGTTTAAACCATCCAAATTCATCAATCAACACATCTCTATTCCTGTTGATTTCTTTCAGGTTCTTGTACTCAATTACCCCACTCTTTTGCCATCATAAAATCATAAAAAACCCTTATACTTCGCCTCATGTAAGTTTATAGTTTAAACATATTATAAAAAAAGCAAAAGAACTAAAGAAAAACATCAAAACCGTGAGCTAAACTCACCTATGAAGGGATTGAGTGTTACAATGACAACTATCCCAAGCATGAGGTGCCAAGCACGACGTGTCTTCATTGTAGCCATACTTAATTTTCAACCATTATATTTGGATCCATTTATGATTATAAGATATATATTCATCCTATAATAAGTTCTTGAGGAGTAGGACAGGAGATTGATGCCTTAAGGTTAAACGAATTGGGTGTTAAAATGATAAATATTAAAAGCATGAGGAGGTCACTAGTAAAAAATCTGATTTTATATCTATCTTTGAAGGTACAAATCAAGTGTCCTGGGCTTATGTTAATGTGTTTACAATCCATTTCACTTGCCCTAAGATCCCAAAATATTTTATAGAGCTAATTCCTCAATCGTTCATTTAATTACTTACCCGATTGACAGCCCATTCTCGACCAATTTCATCAAATCGCACCTCGATATTTATAATGTCATATGAAACATTTATTATCGCGTCATGATCATGTTCCTTTATTTATCATGTCCCAAATATGTCAATTACCTATCTAGAGTTTAAGGTGGTCTCGATCAACCGAATAGAAAGCTTGAACTTTGTCGATACCGATTTCCGACCTTTTTGATATTCCATTTCTTATCAAGCCAATCTCCAATATTTAGTTAACCTAATTTTCTATCATAGCTCAATACAAAATTCAACACCTAGGTCTAGGAGTCGAAGACTAAAATCTTAAAATATCCATAATCGAATGCACCATTTTAAGATAAAGTAATTAAGAAAACTAATGCAAGTAACATTGTGAATAGCATGAAATGCATGAATCATAATGGCCAAATATATAACAGGAAGTTTGGGGTATTACATCCTTCCCTCCTTATAAAAATTTCGTCCTCGAAATTTGCTTACCAAAAAGTTCAGGATATTTAACCCACATTTCATCTTCTCTTTCTCAAGTGGCTTCTTCTGTTGACTGATTCCGCCACAATATCTTAACCAATGGAATTTTCTAGCTTCTGAGTTGCTTTATATTTCATCTTCTCTTTCTCAAGTGGCTTCTTCTGTTGACTGATTCCGCCACAATATCTTAACCAATGGAATTTTCTTTCTTCTAAGTTGCTTTACTTCTCGTTGAAGAACCTCAACAGGTTTTTCTTCATATGTCAAATCTGGTTTTATCTCTACTGGTTCATTCCTAAATACATGAGAAGGATTTCCAATGTACTTTCTTAGCATAGATATATGAAACACATTGTGTACTTGAGACATTGATGAAGGAAGATCAAGCTTGTAGGCAACATTTCCAATTTTCTCAATAATTGAAAAGGGACCAATGTATCTTGGGCTCAATTTTCCTTTCTTTCCAAATCGCATAACCCCTTTCATCGGCGCGACCTTAAAAAAATACTTGGTCACCAACTGTGAATTTTAACATTCTCCTTCTTTGATCTGCATAGCTTTTCTGTCGGTCTTGAGCAGTTTGCATTCGTTGACGTATTTGTATCACAACTTCAGCCATTTCACGAACCATCTCTGGTCCTAGAAATTTTCTTTCTCCAACATCATCCTAATAAATTGGAGATCTACATTTTCTACCATATAATGCCTCATAAGGAGCCATTCCAATTGTAGCCTAATAACTGTTGTTGTATGCGAATTCAACCAAAGGTAAAAATTTACTCCACTGGTCGTGGAAGTCTAATACACAAGCCCTCAGCATATCTTCCAATATTTGTATTGTTCTTTCTGATTGCCCACAGTCTGAGGATGGTAAGCTGATGTTCTGCTTTTATCTGTTGACAGATTAAACATTGTCCCACATATTTGGCTGTCTCACCCTTCATGTTCGGCCACCAATAATGCAATTTCAAATCTCTATACATTTTAGTAGCTCCTGGATAAACAGAATATGGTGTCGTGTGAGCTTCAGATAAAATGTGCCCTCGAATATTTTCTGCATCAGGTACATATAATCGTCCTCTAAATCGTAAGATACCATCTGCTAATGTATGAAAATCTGAAGCTTCTCCATCATGTATATCATTCGTTATCTTGAAAAAATAATCATCTTCCTGTTGTCCTTGTTGAATTCTATTCAATAAAGTTGGCTGAAACATCAACGTTGCAAGTTTAGCCTCTACAAATCCTTGCGACACAACTTCAATACCCATTTTCTGTAAATCTATCGATTCTGATTTTTGAGTTACAATCATACTCGCAACATTGGATGTCGACTTCCTACTCAATGCATCAGCTACGACATTAGCCTTACCGGGATGATAGTTTATAACACAATCAGAATCTTTTACCAATTCTAGCCATCTTCTCTATCTCATGTTCAATTCCTTTTGTGTAAATAGATATTTCAAACTCTTGTGATCCGTGTAAATCTCACACCTCTCTCCATACAAATAATGCCTCCATATCTTAAGTGCAAACACAACTGCAGCGAGTTCCAAGTCATGTATAGGGTAATTCTTTTCGTACTCTTTTAGTTGTCTAGAGGTATATGCAATAACTTTACCATTTTGCATCAATACACATCCCAAACCATTCTTTGAAGCATCACTATAAACTACAAAATTTCCAGTACCAGATGGGATTGAAAGGATAGGGGCTGACGTCAGTCTTTTCTTCAATTCCTGAAAACTCTGCTCACAAGCATCTGTCCATTCAAACTTAGTATTCTTTCTAGTTAATTTCATTAAAGAGGACGCAATTTTTGAAAATCCTTCCACAAATCTATGATAATATCCAGCTAAACCCAGAAAGCTTCTGACCTCTGAAGGGTTTGTAGGTCGTGGCCAATTATTAATAGCCTCCACTTTACTTGGATCTATTGATATGCCCTCACCTGATACTACATGCCCAAAAAATACAACTCTATCTAACCAAAATTCACATTTCTTAAACTTAGCATATAACTGCTTGTCCTTTACGACTGCAGAACTATTCTCAAGTGTTCAGCATGTTCTTCTTTAGTACGAGCATAAATAAGGATATCATCAATAAATACAATTACGAACTTATCAAGAAAGTCTCCAAATACCCTATTCATCAGATCCATGAAAGCCGCTGGAGCATTTGTTAACCCAAATGGCATTACCAAAAACTCATAATGACCATATCTTGTACTAAATGCTGTCTTAGAAATGTCATCTTCCTTTATTTTAAGTTGATGGTACCCAGATCGCAACTGAATCTTCGAAAATATAGATGCACCCTAAAGTTGATCAAACAAATCATCAATGCTTGGCAAGGGGTATTTATTTTTAATTGTTGCCTTATTCAACTCTCTATAATCGATACATAGTCTCATTGTACCATCCTTTTTACGAACAAACAATACTAGTGCACCCTATGGCGAAAATCTAGGTCTAATAAAACCTTTATCCAACAACTCTTGTAATTGTAACTTCAACTCTTTCAATTCAGTTGGGGCCATTCTATATGGAGTCTTGGAAATTGGAGATGTTCTTGGAATTAAATCAATTACAAACTCTATCTCACGATCTAGTCGTACCCCAGGTAAATCATCAGGAAATACCTCTGGAAATTCTTAAGATTCGGATTGTGTTGTGCTTCCATAGCCATAATACTCACCAAATACCCTACACACCCCCTATCTAGTAACCTTTGTGCTTTCAATACCGATATGATTGGAACTCTAAAACCTTTTTCGATCCCAATGCATGTAAATGGTCTATTCCCCAAAAGTTGAAAGGTTACTGACTTTCTCTTACAGTCTATAGTAGCTTGATATCTTGACAGCCAATCCATACCCAAAATTATATCATAATCTTTCATATCTAACACAATTAAATTTGCATAGAGCTCTCGATTTTCTGTAAGGATCGTACATGCTCTTACAATTAGATTGGTTTGTTGTACATCTCCAGATGGAATAGTTACACTATAACTAACCTCATGTATATCAGGTGTCCTACCCAGCCTTCTCAAATACTCGGTAGAAACAAATGAATGTGTAGCTCCAGAATCAAGTAGTACAAGTGCTGGAATGCAAAAGATAGAAAATTTACCTGTTACAACTACTGGATTTGCCTCAGCATCGGATCTAGTAATGGTAAACACTCTAGCTGGTACCTTCTTCTGCTCTATAGGATTTGGATTACCTGGGCATGCTCTAGCAAGATGTCCCACCTTTCCATAAATATAACATGTCCTAGTCTCTATAGGACATGCTGCAGTATGCTGTCCACCACATCTAGGGCAAGATGGTTGTGCTATTAAGGCTTTTCCTTGATCTATCCTCGGACATTTGCCCTGATCCCAATGTTGTTGTCCTTGTCTCGGTTGAAACTTTGGTTTCTAAATCTATCCTTGGAAAGTTCTTTTCTTATCATTTCTAGGCCAACGCTGTCCTTGACCTTGCCTAAGCTGTCGTCGAGCCTCTTGAGCACGACTAATTCTTTGTTCAGCTTGTTCAGCAACTAATGCTCTCTCAACAATTTAAGAATATGAAACATCTTGGATTCCTGCCATACTTACATCTGTATATAGTTCTGGTCTTAACCCCTCAAGAAACCTTTCTACTTTTAATGCATCAGTATTAATCATGTGGGTTGTAAACCTAGATAGTTGTTCAAATTTATGAATATACTCCCCCACTGTCATCCCTCCTTGTCTTAGCTGTATAAATTCATTCATCTTCATGACTTGAACTGGGGCTGTAAAATATTTATTACGAAATAACTCTTTAAATCTATCCCAAGTCATGGTATTTACATCTTCAATACTACTCATCGTATCCCACCAGTGTCTAGCACTACCTCATAGCATAAAGGATGCACAAACTACTTTTCCTACTTCCGAAACTCTCGTATACCTGAACATATTCTCCAAAGTTCTCAACCAATCCTCTGCAGCTGTTGGGTCTAATGCATCCTCAAATATTGGAGGGTTTAGTTTTCTAAATCTTTCCCCAACTGCCTCAAAATGTTTAGCCCTTTGTTGTGGTTGTATGAATTTAGCCCTTTGATGTTCTCCCCTTTCTCCTTGTTGTATTAATTGCTGAATTTGTTGAGATTGTCGCTCAACTAGTTCCGTTAGCCTATCAATAAGCATCTCTGGTTTTCACCATGGTTGCAAATAAAGGTTGGCCAATATCATTCATGAAATATGCAAAAATAATGCGAAAATAAAACTTACAGGCTTAGCTGTGCTCTTTCGTACTCCGATATCATGTACATGGATAGTCTACAGAATTATAACCTTGCTCTGATACCACTCTCTGTCACACCCCAAATATATACAAATAACCATACTAATTCATATGTCGAAATGATATTGGTAACTCGATCTAGACATAAAATTTAGATATACTTTTTTTTAATAAAATGAAACGAGCATTTGCACAATTATGTCCCTATTTGTTAACTTCAAATCACCTGTGATGATCATATATTATATCAAAATCAGCGATCATATAACCATAATCCAACACGTATGTTCTAAGGTTATAAACATATCTATAGGCCATTTCAAAAGTTATACAAGACAGGACCCCCAAAATAGGACACAATAGAGTGTATGCTCAAAACAATAGCCCACAAAATAACCCTACAGGTCATCATCCATGTACATTGATCTTTGGAATCCCGTAAGAGCTCCACAGCTAGCCGTGCCCTCTACATAGTTCCATGCTCACCTACAATGCAAGAACTACATAAGCCAATGCTTAGTAAGCAAGTATCATGCATGTCATGAGTATGAGTAACAAGGATATGTGACACCATGTCATTCACTTTAAACATCATGCTAAAGATGCATCATATTCCAATATTCATCAAAGTCGACTCGAAATTATTGGCCCGTCCCCTGTCTACCTTTGCAATCACCCAAGAAGTATCACCCCGCGATGCCAAACATATCACATAAGCATGCCTCACAAACATTTATAAAGAAAACTTACTTTGAATTCATGTTTCGCATGCAAAGTTTTCAACCATGATCATATGTTGTGCATGCCAACGAAAATGCTCATGAATGACATGCTTAATGGAAGTTGATGTCAATGTATTTTGCAACCGCATACTCAATGATCATAATCATCATATAGGGTACAACGAGCTTTCTTATCAAAGTATGAAAATATCCTAACATCACTATACTACAAATTCTAGGTTCTTGCATCGTAGTTGCAAATGGATTTTTACTTACCTTTTTGCCCTTGTGTGTGTACAAGCTCTTACGGAGATTATATCACTTTCTTTTTTCACTCAACGTCGGAAAATCACCTGTATTACCAATTAATATTAAAGATAATCCTCCATTTAATAGCCTTAACACACACAAAATCCCAAAATACTTCCATTCACGTCAAAATAATTTAAAGGAATTCATTATTCAAGTTACTAACGGCATTACAATCTCGTCCCATAAGCCTCATTTTTCCTCGAGTCCAATTACCAACATCAACGTCATCCAATTGTTGTCAACAGCCTAATATTCCTTAGAATCTATTTCTAGGCCCAAGAGATAATTAATTTACATGTAAAGGTTGAAATCATATTAAACATATAAATGGACAGAACCTGTTTTTCAGGTTTCATCACCGTCCAACTACTTTTCCAATCCGTTTTCACCCCCCTTATCCATATCCAATGACTCCCAAATTTTTACCACGTTTCTATAACATGTATGTGAAGGCAATAATTCTCTAAAGTCATGACAAATAAAGTGTTCTCAGCATCAAAATAGTCCATTTCCACGACATCAAAATCAGGCAGTTTTCATTGTGACAGCTTTCATTTTCCATTTTATTAGCATGTCATCAAACAGATTGCAGGCTATTAGAAGACCATTTATATCCTTATAAATCCCATATAACAACATTCATTTACATAGATACAAGTTATATCTTCAGTATTATCCAAAATCAAAGTTTAAACCATCCAAATTCATCAATCAACACATCTCTATTCCTGTTGGTTTCTTTTAGGTTCTTGTACTCAATTACCCCTCTCTTTTGCCATCATAAAACACTCTTATACTTAGCCTCAAGTAAGTTTATAGTTTAAACATATTATAAAACAAGCAAAAAGAACTAAAGAAAAACTTCAAAACCGTGAGCTAAACTCACCTATCCAGAAATTCAATTTCAGCTCCTTGTTTCTGCTTCTCTCTTTTCCTTTTTGCTTTCTCTTTCAATCGGTGCTCAATTGGGGATAATTTGTAAGACTAAACATGTTGTTAGGAGATGTATATGAAGTCTTCAAGATGCTGGAGACGTGACTCTTCCTTAAGGATTAAGAAAATGTGGGGTGCAGCCAAGTGTTTAGCATGAGGTGGTCTTTTCCTATTATATTTGACTTTTCTCTTGGACTATTTAACTTAGAATGATTTATAAGATATATATATCTATCTGTATTAAATAAAAAAGAGGTAGGAGACGTGGTATATATCTTAAGGATGAAGGGATTGAGTGTTAAAATGACAACTATCCCAAGCATGAGGTGCCAAGCACGACGTGTCTTCATTATAGCCATACTTGATTTTCAACCATTATATTTGGATCCATTTATGATTATAAGATATATATTCATCCTATAATAAGTTCTTGAGGAGTAGGACAGGAGATTGATGCCTTAAGGTTAAACGAATTGGGTGTTAAAATGATAAATATTAAAAGCATGAGGTGGTCACTAGTAAAAAATCTGATTTTATATCTATCTTTGCAGGTACAAATCAAGTGTCCTGGGCTTATGTTAATATGTTTACAATCCATTTCACTTGCCCTAAGATCCCAAAATATTTTATAGAGCTAATTCCTCAATCGTTCATTTAATTACTTACCCGATTGACAGCCCATTCTCGACCAATTTCATCAAATCGCACCTCGATATTTATAATGTCATATGAGACATTTATTATCGCGTCATGATCATGTTCCTTTATTTATCATGTCCCAAATATGTCAATTACCTATCTAGAGTTTAAGGTGGTCTCGATCAACCGAATAGAAAGCTTGAACTTTGTCGATACCGATTTCCGACCTTTTCGATATTCCATTTCTTATCAAGCCAATCTCCAATATTTAGTTAACCTTTTCAATGGGAAATTGTCTGAAATTTAAATTGTCTAATAGGGCAATGTCACGTTGCAAAGTGAAAATTAAAGTGTACATAATAGTGTACTTGTTGCATCGTTCTTACCAATTGAACTTTGCTATTTGTACACTGATTTTTTGCACGTTGTTTGACACGTCCATTGTTGTCATGTGTCAATTGGGTGGAAAAAAATTTTGAAATTCAAATTGTCTAGTAGGGTAATGTCACGTGGCAAAGCGTAAACTAAAATGTACACCATAGTGTGCATGTAACATGGTCCTTACCGACTGAACTTTGTTATTTGTACTCTGATTTTTGCCACATTGTTTGAAACTTGCATTGTTCTCAAGTCTCAATTAGATAGGAAAATTGGTTGAAATTTAAACTATCCAACAGGGTAATGTCACGTGGTAAAGTGTAAACTAAAGTGTGTACACCATAGTGTACATGTAGCAAGGTTTTTACTGATTGAACTTTGCGATTTATGCACTAATATTTAACACATTGTTTGACACTTGCATTATTGTCAAGTGTCAATTGGATAGAAAAACTGTTTTAAATTTAAACTGTCCAACAGGGTAATATCACGTGCCAAATTGTAAACTAAAGTGTGTACACCAAAGTATACATGTAGCAAAGTTCTTACCGATTGAACTTTGTTATTTGTACATTGATTTTTGACACATTGTTTGACACTTGTATTGTTGTCAAGTGTCAGTTGGATGTGAAAAATGATTGAAATTTAAACTGTCCAACAGGATAATGTCACGTGGCAAGTTTAAACTAAAGTATACACCATAGTGTACATGTAGAAAGGTTCTTACCGATTGAACTCTGCTATTTGTACACTGATTTTTGACATGTTGTTTGACACTTAAATTGTTTTCAAGTATCAACTGGACAGGAAAGCTATTTGAAATCCAATAGGGTAATGTCACATGGCAAAGTGTAAACTAAACTGTACACCATAGTGTACATGTAGGAAGGTTCTTATCGATTGAACTTTGCTATTTGTACACTGATTTTTGACAAGTTGTTTGACACTTGCATTGTTGTCCAGTGTTAATTGGATGGGAAACCTATTTGAGATTTAAACTGTCTAATAGGGTAATATCACGTGGCAAAGTATAAACTAAAGTGTACAAAGTAGTATACTTGTGGCATGGTTCTTAACGATTGAACTTTGCTATTTGTACATTGATTTTTGACACGTTGTTTGACACTCGCTTTGTTCTCAAGTGTCGATTGGATGGGAAGGCAATTTGAAATTTAAACTGTCCAGTAGGTTAATGTCACGTGGTACAGTATAAACTAAAGTGTACACCATTGTGTACATGTAGCAAGGTTCTTACTGATTAAACTTTGCTATTTGTACACTGATTTTTGACATTTTGTTTGACACTTGCATTGTTGTCCAGTGTCAATTGGATGGGAAGCCTATTTGAAATTTAAACTATCTAATAGGGTAATGTCATGTGGCAAAGTGTAAACTATAGTGTACAACATAGTGTACTTGTAGCAAGGTTCTTATTGATTGAACTTTGCTATTTGTACACTGATTTTTGACACGATGTTTGACACTTGCATTGTTGTCAAGTGTCAATTGGATGGGAAACCGTTTGAAATTTAAATTGTCCAACAGGGTAATGCTAGTTTGCAAAGTGTAAATTAAATTGTACACAATAGCGTACTTGTTGCATCGTTCTTACCGATTGAACTTTGCTATTTGTAAACAAATTTTTGACACGTTGTTCGACACTTACATTTTTGTCAAGTCCTAATTGGATGGGAAAACTGTTTGAAATTTAAACTGTCCAGCAGGGTAATGTCACATGCCAAAGTGTGAGCTAAAGTGTGTACACCACAGTGTACATGTAGCATAGTTCTTACCGATTGAACTTTGCTACTTGTACACTGATTTTTGACACATTGTTTGACACTTGCACTATTGTCAAGTGTCAACTGGATGGGAAAATTGATAGAAATTTAAACTTACCAATAGGGTAATGTCATGTG